TGCTAAGGTTCTAACAGATCTTGAATTTATTTCTAGCCTCTTGATCTTGAGGGAAGTGTTATAAACCATTGATAAGCCTTTATGTATGATCATATAAAAAGCAAATTCATTTTTGCATAATGGTTGTATATTTTTGAGATCTCATTAAAACAATTCTGATGTTAAAACCATCTGAAGTTGATAGAGAAAGTGCACACCTTTCATATAATTATAACTTTTCTCAATTTGAAAGTTAGTAGCTCCACATTTATTCTTTTAAAGTTCCTAACTCAATAAACCAAAACTATTAAAATAGATATGCAAGCTGATAAATAATATGTCATTCACCTTCTCTTCATTAAGTATGAATGACACGTACGTTAGGTTTCTTAATTTGGCATTTAAAATTTTTTAAATGAGTTCATGTTTTTCCAATTGCTTTTAATTATATATGTAATAGCTTCCAGACTTTTAATTTATTGTAATTTTATTATTGCCAAACTCGATTGCCAGCTTCAAAATTGTCCATTATTTTCATTTTTATCTTTAGTTATGAATTTATACATTTCGATCTTCAATTAACTAACAAACTTTTAATTTCTATAATTTAACCCTTAATTTGGTCAATTTCAGCCTCTACATTCACACTTTCTTTTTAGTTTGGTTCTTGATTTTAGATTTTTTTAATATCCCTAATTGCCCATTAAACTTAAATATTTATGCAATTAAACTCATGATTTAACTAAATTAACTCTTAAAAATTATAATTCAACCCCTAGACTTTAATTTCTTTCAATTAAAGTTTAGATTAACTTCAAAAATCAATTTTTCTTTCAATTAAGCATTTAATAAATTCAATTAAACCTCGAGTAGCTCCAATTGAATCCTTAAACATCTAATTTAAAATTTTTCTTAAATTGAATTTTTTTTTGTCAATAGTACCTTTATCAATAAAAAAATATGCCCTTAAATGTTTCAATCTTGATTTTCTTCCAATTTTTTTTTGTATTTCCTTTTTTTCTCTTTATTTTATTTTATTTTGTTTACGTGGGGCCCTAAATTTGGTAACAATATGTATAATTGAGTATAATCTCTATTTAAAATGTTTTTACAAAACAATAAAATAATCCTCTAATTCTTCACTTGAATTTGACTCATGATGATTTACATTATTTATAAAATAAAATAAAGATTTATTTTTTGTTAAAATGCGAATTTAAATATATACTGCAAATAAAAAACTTGATAATTTAATACCCTATAGTGTATCCTAAATCCGTTCATGATTTTGACTAGCGATGAATAAGTTACGGGGGATGAAAGATTTGGTTCGATTTTTCTACCTCTCCTCCTAGTTTTCGTACACTCAATTATTAACACGTTGTTAGCCGTGAGAAAGTGGAAAAGGAAAAATTGGTGCTAGTAAACTGACTTCCCCTTCTCTAGAGCATGATATTTTTTCAACCAGGCAAGAATCCGTAGGCATTAGGATAAAGTATGGCTATAAAAAGTCTCCTCACCACTTCTTCTATAAAAATTGCAGACTACCAGTCCAAGTTTGTCACCAGCAAGACCTTTACCCACAGCTGCATGATCTACATAAAGTTTTGCACCAATTATACCACTTGTACGATCTCGTTCGGCAAACCAGCCTACTTCTGTATAAATCACTATCTCAAAGCACATTGCTCGGATCGTTTTATCAATTTACAGACAGCCACAGTAAAGAAATATTGTTTTAATTGTTGAATAGATGAAGTCATCAAGCCGACACCAACAAGCATCAATGCCCAAAAAGAAAAAATATTTTTTAGTTTATGCAGTGGCAAAAAAGAATTTTAATAAGAAAATGAGCGGCCACCTTACTCAATACGAACTGTATGATAATAATAAAAGCAGAAGGTATTATTTTATATAGTAACAACAAGGAAAATAAATTGCCGTACTTATATAATTGACTAGTGCAGTCCTCACCTTACTCGGTCCCATTTTTTTGGTTGAATAGATGAAGTCATACCTCCACCCTTTGGACTCCAATAAAGATGTTCGTTTCTTCCTTTTCTTTCTTTGGATGGTACTGAAATGTGTCCTTCAAAATTGGGTGGTGTGCTAGCATGATTTGAACGCGTGGCTGGGAAGATGTTATTGTGGAAGTGTTCTTGTTTTGGTATTCTTGCTTCAACCACCGACAATCTTGGACTTTTTTCTTTCAACTCACCGATCTTTAATTTTTTTTATCAACATTCCTTGGAACTTAAATATAGATTGATGGATTTGACTCGAGGTTTCACATGAGTTTTTATAAACATTATTTCTGATGTTTTTTTATTTTTATAGTTGATGTTTTTGGGGTTCGGTGTGAGAACCATTCAGACAATGGTTTTGTTCGATTGGTATCCATTACATGCTACTTTTTGTTTTTCTCGACGGGAAAGGTTATTTTGCATGAGAATGTCATAATTAGGGGTGGCTATGTCCTTAAATGCGTTGAATTATTGCCTTTCGATTGTCGCATGAAGAATTGCCTTTTCTTAGTCGTCAAGTATAATAATTAATTATTTACAGAAAAACAGTAAGGTCTAAAAAAATCAACCCTTCTCTCCTATCAAGCTATCCTCTCCTCTCCTCCCTCTTTCATTGTGTTCTTGATGTAGAAGAAATGTTTTCGACACATATACATTTGAGAATTCTGTAACTCTACCCCTTCACGAATATAGCATGCAATTTATAATTTACTTGTTAATTTATTAATATATTTGCATCAAAACACACAAAAAAAAACCTAGGAGATTTGATAAAATCATTGTTCATCAAGAAAGAAAACATCTTCAAAGTGTTCCACTATATTTTCAGTCTTTTTTTAATGAATATCAAAGAATTATATAAAGTCGGATATATGGTGGATGAAAATCAACAAAACAATGAAAAGATAAAATAACTAAGTTATGATAGCATAACAAGATATAGGTACTGATTATTCCAAAAAGAAATTTTAATCATTTGAATTTTTTATATTTTGTTTTTTGAAGTGTTTCTTTAATGTTGTATTTATTTGAAATTGAATTTTATAATTTGTTTTAGTTTTCTAGATAAAGGAATCTCGCAATTTTGTAAAACAAAATGTGGTTCACTTAATGCTTAATTTGAAAAAATTATATGATATTTTATTTATTTAAAAAAATTAAAGCTTTGAGAACCGAATTTTAAGATTGAACAAATATACTTTTAGCTAGCATGAAGAACTAAAATGAATGAACATTGAAAGATGTGAAGATAGTCATCACGCCTTGGAGGCGTGTGCGGTGTCCTTAGACCTCAGAAGATGGTGTTCCGCTATCTTAAAAAAGGTTACAAGATGGGGTGGTGCATGTCAAAGGATATGCAGTAGTGTGTCACCACCATCCCAATCTTCCTTTCTTTTTCTTTTTAATTTCTCATTTCACCACGGGTTTTATTTCAAGCTTTGTTAAAATTATCTTATGTCATTTTATTTTTATTTTTTTATTATAATTTTTTTTATTAATTTTATCCTTGATATTGTACTAATTAAAGATCGAACATTTAATTTTTTTTAATTTACTTTATATGAAATAATCTTAATTTTATGATTTGAATTATGAATTTAAAAAGATGACATAGGTTGACTTAGGCTATTTGTTTTTGAGGTCTTTTTTATTTATTTTTCTAATTAATCTCATCCTTAAACATATGGTTAGTTGGTATATAGGTTTTGAAAATTTTTTTCTTTGTTTTTTATGGGATTATCTCAAAAAAAATTTATTTGTTTTTTTATATTAATTTTTTTAATTTTTTCCTTCAACAATGTGTTGTTTTGGGAAGTGAGCTTCACTGTTCTTTTCAATTTACTTTCAATGATTTTATCATGTTCTCATAATCTGAATTATGAGTTTGACAAATTTACTTAAATTAACTTAAATTATTTATTTTTTAAAATTTATTATTTATCAATTTTCTCTTTAGCATTGTATTGGTTTGAGAATTGAGTTTTGTAGTTTTTTTTAGTTTTTTTTCTATTAGTTTATCTTATTTTCATGACTCGGGTAACGAGTCTAATAGGTTTATTAGAGTTGACTCTAGTTAGTTTTTTTTGGTCTGTTTTTGTAAATTAAATATTTATTTTTTTAATATCATCCTTATATATTAAATTAATTTAAAATTAAATTTTATTATTTATTTTGATTTAATTTTTAAGAAGTTATTATAATCTTATAATCTTAATCTTAATTTTATAGGTTACATAAAATTTTCTCATATTAATCTAATATAATATGTTGTTGTTTTAATATAAAAAAATATTATTTTTACCGATTTGATATTAAAAAAAATTATAATACAGGATACATCAAGTTTAGTGATTAATTTTTTTATACTTCTAGAAAACACGTCATGAGCTCTTAAAAATTTTATTCAATCCACAGTGCAAAGCATGTCAAGGATTCGGTGGTGTTCTATATTTCCTTATCTTCGGTATAACAAAAACACACACATTTAGACAACAGCATGGAGTTCTATCTACGGATTGCAATTTCTTGACACGACTTTTCAATCTACAAATGCAAGTATTCTACAATAAAATCTTATATTTTCCCATTTCTAACATTTAATACTCTTATTTCACTCTAGTTAGAGTATGAAAATTTAATATAAAAAATGACTTGAGCCATGACTCCCTTTCTCACACATTTCAGCTGCTATGGATTGCAATGCGAGTTTATATTCTCCCTTGACTTCATTTTTCTTTTTTTCTTTTTTTCTTTTTTCTGCTGTATTCTTACTTTTCAGTTTGTCAATCTGGTAATCAAACGGTTTAATTTATTTATACGGTTACAATCAAGAATCATGGCCAATAACATTGTATTAGGGAAATTTCCAGGAACGATCCTGAGCGTGTTAGGGTGCGTGTGGGTGTGTGTGTGTGTGTCTATATATGTGGTATGGAAACTTTTGAGCTTCGAAACTCGTTTTTCCATTAGAATTGTTTTTTAGGATACAGTACGGAAATGACTCGGGCTGCTGTTTGGTGTTTTAAGGTAGAGGACGTGAAGTCTAGAAATAGATTCTCACGGCCGGAGACGATGAGGAGGATTTCACAGCAGTATCAGAATTTGTTTTTGAAAAGAGGGACATGGGATCCTGATGAAGATCAAAAGTTGAGGGCTTATATTAAGAGACATGGCATTCGGAATTGGAATGAGATGCCGAAAGCTGCTGGTAACTGCTAATGATTAGTTCTTGTATTCTAAATGTTACATGTACTGGCAAAACACAGTGAAAATAAAACTGAGATGTAATCTATTGCTTCTTCTTCTTTGTCTCCATTTGTAGGTTTGTTAAGGTCAGGGAAGAGTTGCAGGCTTCGTTGGATGAACTATCTTAGGCCAGATATTAAGCGTGGAAGCTTCAGCAAGGAAGAGGTGCAAACCATAATCAAGCTGCAGGAAATGTTAGGAAATAGGTATATTTATTCTCAAGTATAGATATTATTAGCTAGCTAGCGCACGTATGTTTCCATTTGTTTTTAGGAGAGCTCACCTATTCCAGAAGTTCATTGAGTTACAATCAGCTCATTTCTTGAACATGTCCTGCAATAAAAACACACACGCATTCTCCTCTAATAGCTCTACTTGGTATACAAAGGCATCCAATTCCTAGGTATTTTATGTACATAAATGTTATAAAATACCCTTTTATGAAGAAATTTCTATGATTTTCGAAGCATTCGATTACTAAAACCACCTAATACTTGAAGCATGTAATACAACTCTATTTAAGGAATCCATTATTAATTTCTTATAACATCAATAATCTTACATTAATTGGTTAGGATTCAAGAGACTGAGCCTGCTAGTATCTCATAAAGACTAGTTTCAACCTTTCTCACCAAGAGGTACTATTAATTAAGGTTACGAGTCCTTCATCTTTGAACAGATGAGACAATAATCAGGCCTCTTTATAGGCGCCAACCATGTTGCAGATTGGTAAGAACATGGTGATGTTCCATATAGCTATTGCAAATCTCTCACTTTACAGTCTAACCAATCAACACTAACTTTACAGTGGTAGTCGAATTGTATATAGAGCAAAGTATGCAAACTAGCAGTATTTTACCATCAATTGAAAAAAATTATGACTATAATCGGCTGCATAAGATCAATAATATTTTCTCCTTTTTTTTCATCCATTTCAGATGGTCTACAATTTCAGCAAAGTTGCCTGGAAGAACCGATAATGATATCAAAAATTTCTGGAACACCCATGTGAGGAACCGCTTCAACAACAATATTAGTAATACTACAGTGCAAGCACCTAAACTGCAAGGAATGCAGACATCCGAAGAAGAATTCAAGCAAAGGAAATCATCTGCCATTCCCACTGCTCCAAAAGTATTGAATTCAGAAGAGTACTCCTCCAAGGGGACGCTCCCCATGTTACCAGTTCTGTTTTCTGATAATTTCTCATCTTCCAGTTCCAGTCCTTTGAATGACATCAATGAAAACATGCGCATGGAGGAGAATGATGGATCATTTGAATCATTTGCAGAACTAAGTTTGTTGGATCAGCCACTTTCAATGGAAGCGAAAAAGTGCAACGCGGAGGATTATGGTGAAGCATATACAGATGAAATGTGGGTACAAGAATTGTTGAACTATCCAAATGCTTCCCACAATTTTGATGTCGGCCAAGAGTTTTGGATGAATTGCTTGATGCAAGCACAGCTGCTTGGAAATTAAGTAGAGCGTGTGTTTATGCCACTTTTAAAGTGGTCTACTAGTTAATTAATGTTAATAAACTACAAGAGTTAAATCCCTTAATGAGCATAGGCACAGTTTAATGAACGATGCTATTTTTTTTTTAAAAAATAGCTTTTCATGTAATGATTGTGATATTTTATATGTTGGAATTTTCTTTTTTCTTGAAAATTCAATGTATTTAGTAAATTTTCATATTTGGATTAGAGGCTAATTTCATGAAATATAATTTAAATTTGTAGTATAAAAAATTTTAAAATATAAGGACTATAAAAAAATAACAAGTCTTTTGTATATTTGTGCAAAGAAGTTCATTTTCATCCAAAAATTCTCCATTTACTTTTTTTTTATTCTTTTAGTTTTAGGATTTTATATTTAGGCCATCTACTTCATTTATTTTATATTTTATTTTTTAAGTGAGAGATAAAAAGTTGTCAAAAAATAAAGATGAGAAAGAAAGTAATCGTGTGATCATATTTTAAAATTAAAAAAAAATTAATTTTAGTATCATTGAATTTTTCTTGATGAGAAAAGTATCATTGAGGTATTTATAAATTTTCATCTCATTGTAAAAAAATAAATCAAGTTTAAAAAATAATTTTTAATTCAATTTAATTTTGAACCTTTTGACCTATCTAAGAGTGTTTTGAGGTATATAAAAAAGACAGTTTAATTAAATGCTTAGGGTATTTCTTAGCAGCTGAAATGGGTTTTTGAATTTTAAAATTTGGACTTTGACTCTTTTTTTTTCATCAAGTAGATATTTTCAAAATCTTTATTAGTAGATAATATAACATCTATTTACTTTTTAAAAAAATAATATAGTGGATTGCATGTCACCTACCCTATTATAAAAATAAAAAAACAATAAGACTATATGTATGTGCTTGGTCTTGCATTTCAATGATCAGGTGGATTTATTTTTTGTATAAGGCTACATATACCAGCCCGACCATTTAAGCCTATATACCTAACTTTTTTTATACTATTATTTTTTAAATTTTAGCTAAAATTTATTATAAATAAAATAATTAAAAATGAAATTCAATCATGTTGAAACTAGCTTAACGTGATCTATTTAACTAAGTTAGTCCAAACATAATCCACTCAACCCTTTTAAAACCCATGACTCCCAAAAGATTTTTTAGTTTAATATTATTTTAATTTTTACCTAATCAACAATGAAACAATGAATTGGTCTAGTGTAAAACTTATGTGTTAGTGTATTTTGGATTGTTATTTTGTGGGCGTTGTTTTTTTTTTGTTTGATTTTGGTGAAATTATATTATGTGTTGAAGCTCTTACGTTTTCTTATTTGTGAATGTTTGTTTGATATTTCCTTGTTGTCATGAGTTTGTGTTATTTATAAAAAAAATAAAATGATTATTTGTAATTCATTGTTTCTATTTGTTTCAAGGATGGTGACTAAAAAGTAAAACTATATTCTTTGTTTTACGACGCTTGTGTACTATTTTATTTGTTTTGGAGAAATTTTAGTTCAAATGTCTAGGTTAACTGTTTCTCGGCTTCTTCAAATTACGATACGTGTGTACTATAACAACCTTGTTAATTTTAAAAAGAAGAATAAAATGATGACCTGATAAGAAGAAGTACATGTTAAGGTTGTTGTCCAAGCATCATGGAGCATCTGTACCATGTTGCAGGGACTTCTAGCTGTTACGATTGACCGTCATCACCCCCTTCTTCCTCTCATAAAGAGAAGCCTGTGAATATCCAAAAATATTGTTTTGAAAAGAGGTGGACCTTCTTTAAACAAAAATTATTGAAGATTTTACGTATAAAATGGAGAATTTCTTAGCCTTTCTCTTTTTCAATTCTTGAAAGCTCAGTTGAGTTTATATATTGCAAATGGGAGAACAAAGAAATTAATGTTCAATGTACAGTATCTAATGTGATGTCCTTGTGTATCACCAAATATATATTTTATCATCCATAAGAGTTGGTAAATTAATTACAAGAAATGCAAGTAGTAATGATCATCATCGAGAGATTAGGATCTTTAACTCAATCATACCTCTCTCGAACTCATGGGTTTGTTTTTCTCGAAATCATAATATTCATTAAAAAATCGAGGAAAGAATTTTCGGTGGTATTTTTATCATCAAATTGTTGTATGGAGTTGATTAAAAAAAATTTTAATTGTAGTTCTTTAAGAAGAACACAAACTCAACTCATATACAATTAAAAAAGAAAGAAAGAAAGAGTGTCACTCAAAACATTGGTTTAAATGAAAAAAATGATAATTTAGATGTTGTCATATGAAACACTAATGTCTTATGAAGACTTGCTATTTGTTTGGCTTCAAGTATACTAATTATTTTATTAAGAAAAATAAGGTCAAAAAAAGGCACCCTCTCTCATCGTGTTCTTGACCTAGAGGAAATGTTTTCTGCGCATTTACATTTGAGGGAATTTATTTTTATTAATATATTTGATTAATCAACACGTAAGTTCCAATATTTGATGCTCTTTCGCAAGCCAAGAAAAGGAGTTCACACATTTTGTCGACGGCTTGGATTTCTTCCTACGCTGGGTTGCAATTTGTTGACACGACTTTACAATCTTGGAATGCGAGTAATACACTTATTTCGCTCTAGTTAATTTCTAAAGTTCTAATATACAAAATGACTTGTGCCCTTGACTCCCTTTCTCGAACATTTCTAAGATTAATTTATAAAGTTTTCGGATACAAAATGACTTGAGCCCTTGACTCGCTTTCTCACACCTCTCTATGCTTGATTCAGTCCATTTTCGCCCCCTCGCACTCGCTATTTTATGAAGTCAAAACAGAAACAATTATTTACTTGTGGCATTATTCTGGCATAGAAGAAAAGGTGTTGATCTAGGATGAACTGATCTAGATGCATGTGCTTGTATGTGTCTCGACAAGTTGAAATGATTGGAAATTCTGAGCTTTGAAACACGTTTTCCCACTAGAAAGTATGATATAGTATTTGGAAATGACTCCTGCTTTGACGTCAAAATTGTAGCCTAGTATAAGTTCTCAAGCAGCATAAGAACATGATAAAAAAAAACCCAAATTACTTGTTTATTCCATCTTATATAATTTTTTTTAAGATTAATACTTGTAGGGATTCAGAAAATCCAAATTACTTGTTTATTCCATCCGTACAAATAAACTCAATTTTATTATAAAAAAATTTGGTTGGTTGTAACTCGTTAAGATTCAGAAAATCTTCAAATTAGACTTAAAAGTGTTATTTCAACTAATTTTGTTATTTTTTTTATTTTCTAACTTGTTTATGTTTTTTATTTTTTTTCTTTTATTTTTTTATTTCCTAGTTTGTTAACATTTATGTCTATTTTAAGATTTATTTAACAAGTTGTAAGTCTTTATTTTAGTAAGACAAATTACTCAAATATAAAATATTCATCATTGAACTTTAAAATTATATATGTATATATATTATTTGTACCTACTGTTTTTTTTTTAATTTGTGCCTCCTATTTTTTATTTTATTTTTTTCGTTTTTGCGTCCATTAATTGAAAGGTTGTTTTCACCTAACTTGTCAACCACAACATATGTTGTCCAATATCCTTGAAAATGATAGGTTCTGTTCTTGTAAACAAAGCAATCACAATATCCTTGAATTAAATATCCAAACCATTAGAAACATATATATATATATATATATATATATATAATAAATTCAGCAGTACCCTATAACCTCGACTTCTATCTATCGAAATAGTGTGCTTGTAGAATCCTTAACAGTGAACGCGAGTTGGGTCAGACTCATGATCGAGAGCAAGTTGATGTTTGGAAAAACATGAGTTTATTTGTTACAATAAAAAAAGAAAAAAAAAAGAAAAAGCATTCTTGTATTATATGTGCCTGAGTTAAATTGGTTAGATTTTACAAACCAGCAATAGTAAATTGAAAATCTTATATCATTGTAAAATCTTTGGTAAATTATTTTTAATTTATTAAAAGACTTTCACACTTAACCCCTTTGCAAAACTTAGTTATATTTTTTTATTTATTTTGTAACATCTTTTCTGTTGAACATGTCAATCAAATAAATTAATCAAATTAATTTATTTATTTATAAGGTCACAATCAAGAACAATGCTTGAACATTGTATCACGAGAGTTGTTGGAGCGACCCTTTTTTTATCTGTTGAATAATAATTTTAAATTTTAAATTATTAGATAAGATAATAAAATATAATCTATATAATTTTTTAATATTTTTTAAGTAAAAATTATTTAGTCTTAGCCTCAAATATAATTTATATAATTCTTTAACATATCATTTCAAGTGAAAACCTTTTGAATATAAAACTTATATAAATTCATATTACTTTGTACTATTAATTAAATTTTAATTAGAAATAAGATATCAAAATATAATTTATATAATTTTTTAATAATTATATATGTTAGGTCAAATAATTATCTTATTAAAAAATTTAAAGTTTCAAAATATAATTTATATAATTTTTTAATAATTATATATGTTAGGTCAAATAATTATCTTATTAAAAAATTTAAAGTTTCAAAATATAATTTATATAATTTTTTAAGATATGTATATACATGGGAAACTTTGTACCTTTGAAACTCGTTTTTCCATTACAACAATTTTTAAGATACTGTACGGGAACTACACATACTGCTGTCTGGTGTTTTAAGGTAAAGGACGTGAAGTCTAGAAATAGATTCTCACGGCCGGAGACGATGAGAGGTATTTCACAGAACTATCAGAATGTTTGTTTGAAGAGAGGGACATGGAGTGCTGATGAAGACCAAAAGTTGAGAGCTTATATTAAGAGATATGGCATATGGAATTGGAATGAGATGCCGAAAGCTGCTGGTAACTGTTAATGATTAGTACTTGATTTCAAAATGTTACATATAGAGGCCAAACGCAGTGAAATTTTCTTCTTACTCTTCTTCTTCGTATTTGTCTCCATTTGTAGGTTTGTTAAGGTCAGGGAAGAGTTGCAGGCTTCGTTGGATGAACTATTTAAGGCCGGGTATTAAGCGTGGAAATTTGAGCAAGGAAGAAGTGCAAACCATAATCAAGCTGCATGAAATTTTAGGAAATAGGTAAATTTATAGATATTTTTAGCCGAGGCTTGTAGGCATGTAAGTTTCCATTTCTTTTTATGGAGCTCACCTTTTCCACAAGTTCATTGAGTACTCACAGCTCATTTCTGATCTCTCCTCTAATATGATGACATACAATTCTCTTAGGTATTTCATGTCCATAAAAGTTATAAAATCCCATTTTATCATGAATATTCTCATATTGGTTAGGAGTCGAGAAACCTAGACTGCTAGTATCTCATAAGAACTAGTTTCAACCTCTCTCTCCAAGAGATACTATGAATTAAGGATAAGAGCCTTTCATCTATGAACAGATGAAACAATAATTAGGCCTCTTGATAGGAGCCAACCATGTTGCAGATTGGTAAGCACATGGTGATGTTCAGTATAGCTATTTCAAAACTCTCACTTTACAGCTTAACAATCACTTTATGATAGTAGTCAATTGGTATATAGAAACTGCACGCATAGTAGTAGTATTTTATCATCAATTCAAAAGAATAATTACGTGGTCCGGCTGCATAAGATCAATAATATTTTCTTCTTCTTTTTTCATCTATTTCAGATGGTCCACAATTGCAGCAAAGTTGCCTGGAAGAACGGATAATGAAATAAAAAATTTCTGGAACACCTACTTGAGGAACCGCTTCAACAACAATATTAGTAATACCTCAGTGCAAGCACCAAAACTGCAAGGAACTAGTCCTGTGAATGACATCAATGAAAACCAGCACATGGAGGAGAATGTTGGATCACTTCAATCCTCTGGAGAGCCAAGTTTCTGGGATCAGCCATTTTCAATGGAAGCTCAAGTGTGCAAGGTGGAGGATTATGGTGAAGCATACACAGATGAGATGTGGGTCCAAGAATTGATGTACCATCCAAATGCCTCCCACAATTTTGAATGCAAGGAAAGGAACTCATCTGACATTGACGTTTCACTTCCCCCTAGTCCAAATATATTGAATTCAGAAGAGTACTCCTCCAGCGGTACACTCCCTATGTCACCAATTATATCTACAGATAATTTCTCATCATCAAGTTCCAATCCAGTGAATGACTTCAATGAAAACCAGCACATGGTGGAGATTGGATCACTTGGATCGTTTGGAGAACTAAGCTTGTGGGATCATCGGTTTTCAATGGAAGCTCAACTGTGCAAGGTGGAGGATTATGGAGAAACATACACAGATCAGATGTGGGTCCAAGAATTGCTGCACTACTAAAATACTTACCAAATTTTGCTGCTGGCCAAGAGTATTGGATGCATTGTTTGACTCAAGCACATGGAAACTAAGTATAGCGTATGTTTTTTGCTACTTTCAAAGTGACCAACTGGAAAGTCTTAATTGATTCATATACATAATAGAAAGTGTTTGAAAAGACAGCTTGCTGTTAGCTACCGTTTAGCTATGGTGCCTAACTGCGTCTTATGCTGTGATACCTGTAGGCTCTTCAGTGTTTAGATTCCGATTGGGTGTTTATAATTTGAGATAACATATGGTTTTTGTTTGTTGGCGTATTTCGATGGTGTGGCATTTAGTTGAAATGTCGTTATGCTCTTTTCTCTTCTTGTATGCTACTGCTGGTTATGTATATGATGTTTCTGTTCTCAGTTTTTTTTTTTTTTTAGTATTTAAGTAAGCTGCTAGGTTTTTTATTCTTCATGTTGGACTTGTAAGTTTCTTAGAAATGTAAAAGAAATCGTGTTTTTTAAAAAATTAAATTTTTATTTATTATTTTAGATCATTAATTTATTAATGTTAAAAATATTTTAAAAAATAAAAAAGTATTATTTTAATATATTTCAAATAAAAACATTTTAAATTATAATTACTATTGTACTTCGGAACATAACTAGATTTCATTCTAACATGTTCATGGCCATGTTCTTGGTGCCACTGCATTGGCATTCTTGATTGATGTTAGTACTGGATTCCATATATCTTTGTCAGCCATGTTGTATTTGTTCTTCTTTCAATGTGCTCCATATGGTAAAATTGTGGCTCTCGTGATGTAATTCTGACGAAAGGTTTATGGTGATAAGTCTTTTCTTTCATAGCCAGGTATTAAGCAAGCTTTTCATATTTAGATTGATTTGAGAAGATTTTGTATTTCAAAATGTGTTTATGAAATCGAAATCAACATGTATGCGATGGGATGGCGGGGAAGATGGTCTCCGACAGCATTAATTTACGTACACAGATTTAATTCCATTACTCCTTCCTTTATAAATCCCCATTCCTTTTTACGTAGAATATTGAATTTAATTGAGTATTTTTCCATATTAACTCAGTATGTGTGACCATCTTATTTCAAATTCCGAAACCCTTTTCCCCTTCTCTTATCTTTTCTTCCTCTTTCTTCTCCTTCTTCCAATGCTACCAAAAATAGATAATCATCTAGGTGGTGGCCAAGTGATAAGAACTTGGGATTAAGAATTTGTTTTCTTTATGGTCTCAGATTCGTGTCCTTGGTTGCTCATATGT